CACCCACCCGCAGCCTGGCTGGGAGTTTGTGTGTGTGCTCACACACCCGACTCACAGCCTCGCCGTGTCCCGCCGTCTCAGTCGGAGAAATCGGCGGAGCTGCAGCTGAGAAAAGATTGAGTGTGTGAGGAAGTCCACGGATTGGTCCATTCCACGGACTTAACGTAAGGGCTCCGCGGACGAAACGTAACGTCAATGTACCCAAATACGTCACTATACCCAAATACGTCACTATACCCAAATACGTCACAGAACCCAAGAAGCAAAAAATGGAAAAAGAGAAATCTCCAACAAGGCGTTCTGGGGCAGCATAGACAGGTCTTTTCTGTGTTAGAGTTTTACTCGCTACAGGGTGTACTTTGAGGGTTTGTGACTCTGCAGACCGTTTACATGCAGAGAAACCTTCATAACACACAAGGGGACGGGTAATAACCAGAAAAGCATGACATGGGACCTTTAAGATAATCCCCTAAAATCAGGAGTAATTCCCGGTGCTTTACTGGCTGTGTGTGTGTGTGTGTGTGTGTGTGTGTGTGTGTGTGTGTGTGTGTGTGTGTGTGTGTGTGTGTGTGTGTGTGTGTGTGTGTGTGTGTGTGCTACATGTATTTGCTGTGTAATGGTAACCAGCTGCACTCTCACACACGCTGCTTTACGGACGACACATGGGACCTTTACAGTGTGAGTCACTGTCTAGCCATTGTTGTGCTGACACACTCCATGTAGCATTACTGAGGATCTAAGCTCTTAATCTGTCAGGTTTCTTCATCATATGGAGCTGAAAACAGTGTCCTCAGAGTACCTTCTAACACATATTTATTGGGGGATGCGATGAAAACAGCCTGAACATACATCATCCTGTACAGTGAAGCCAAAGTGAAATAACAGTAAGAAAACACAGCTATGAGACCAGTTTTTTTTTTAATATTTAGGTATAAAAGGTCTGTCGATTAGTCTTTTCTTAATGTTTTTTTTCACAACAATTACAGCCATATCCTGTGAAACGGTGCAGTTGTCGTAGGCTCTCTTTTTTTATTCATTTATTTATTTATTTATTCGTTATAAATATGAACAGTTTGCTCGGTTTGCACTTAGATGATAATTAATGCCTCTCGCTGCCAGTCCGACCATACTGCTTGGAAACCTTGCCACATTACCCTCACACCACTCTCAGTGCCAGCCTTTGTCTATATGCCCAAACACACACACACACACACACACACACACACACACACACACACACACACACACACACACACACACACACACACGGACTTCACAGCGAGGCTTCTTTACAGACGCTAACATGACAGTTTTATTCACACGATTGTACACAATTCTTGTCCTTGTGTTTGACATCCAAATGGATAGAGGAGGGGGTTTATTTTTCTATATCCGTATATTTTTACGTCTGCACATGTCTCAGAGGGTAAATGAGATTACTATAATCCATCATGGCCAGAGAGAGGAGCAAATCCAATCCCAGTTAACATCGCTTTCTCCTCTCTTTAATTTCTTATTTGGCTCTGCCATTCATGACCATCTTTCCGGATTTCCTCCCCTTCCTTTGCTTGTTCCCAGCCGATGAGAGCATGCAGATATAAGAGAAAACAACAAATGAATTAGTCCTGGAAAGAATATAGTCTCAGATTTTCATATCCAGCAACTACACTGTAGCTATTTGGCATTTGTATGACAATAACATTTTTTAATTGGATCTTAGACGGGTATTTCTGTGTAACAACAAGGCTGGGAATGGTTATCGAGCCAGTGAATCCTACATAGTTGGACAACAACACATTTATATTCTATACACTTGATTGAATTTGCTATGATAAAAAAGGTCAGCTGTTGGCTGTAAGGAAAATAATTGTCACACTGGATGATTGGCTCTATTTCTGCACATTACCCACAGCCTGATTATAAACTGCAATGGTTAGCCAAGCGCAATTTACTATCCTTTATTATCCGCAAACTTTACAGAGTTGTAATAACGATGAGTTTTATGTGTGGGGACATTAGCATCTAATAAACATATCTTCTGCTCTCTGCCCTTTTCTCCAGATGACATCCTGCAGACTCAGGATGGCACTCTGTGTGCGGCAGAAATCGGCTCTGAACTCCAGAAACAGTTTGCCATCCTACCAGGTGGGTTTCATTTCTGTCCCTCCTGACCTTTATACATACGTAGGGGCATTACGGGAACTACATACAGTTTACATACATACATTCAGTACTGTGGACAATCCCCACAGGAGCAATTATGGGTGAAGTGTCTCAGGGACACAACGACATGCTGACTGCAGTGGGACTCGAACTCGCTATCCCCTGATTTGAAGTCCATCATACTATCCACTGAGCCACAGCCTCCTTTACATATGATCTGTTGTTCTCGTGTGATTGTACAGTAGGGCTAAGGGCTTGAAGAGATTCTCAAATAATCCAATTCAGTGACAGCTTTCTTTTTACGAGTGAAATTAGAATTAGATGAGCTTATTAAATGCAATTAAACAAAACAATGTTTTACGGTTGAGTTATTATGTTAGAGTAAAAGTGAACTAGTAACCCCAGCAAGGTCTTTTTCCAAATAGGCAGCATGGATTAGATTAGATTAGAGAATTGGGTTGTCAATGCAAAAACACACTTGAGTAAACTGAAGTGGGTTTTATTTAAGGATAGATCACATTAGAGTTAATAACATAATGCAAGAGTTGGACTAAGGGAATACATTACGAGGAGGAGGTTTTGTTTTTCTAGCATTTTGTTCAATAACATGGGAAGATACTATACTCAAGCTAGACTTTATTGTTGACCCTTATGCCAGGCCCCTATACGATTTAAAAATATTTCATTCTCAAAATATTTTCAATGCCTTGTTTGCATGCTGCTGTGAGAGTGTGTCTTTGATGGCACATTTAACACCGATTTGTCATCCAGATTCCAGAAATAGCTCAACTTAAGCTCAGTCTGCAGACTTTAAAGTGGCATCATTTAAAAGATTATTATAGCCAATTATGTCTTAACCTGTTTCTATGTGGCTTGCATTTCATTGGGAAAGATGTTCTCACGCAGCACCTTCGTTTCCTAGTCAACACAATTTAAAGTTTAGTTTTTGTTCTGATTATTTCCTTCTAGTTGAATTGAAAAAGAAAACAACCTTGCAACCTAAAGTTCTCATGAAAACTTAAATCTTCCCACAAGCAACCGCTCACATAGAAAAGCGTATGCACACCCACAGAAACACACACTTAGGGCCCTGTGTTGGGTTACCATGACGAAAATGCCTGGCGAGTGACGGCATGTGAATAATTCATCGCCGCGATGATCTGCTTTGCAACTTGACCCACCAACGATAGAGAAGGCCTCTATAATGTGTGTGTGAGGCCCTTTTGATTTGATTATTTTTTCTTTGTATGGTGATTTTTAATAAGTTCCAGGACACCTATTTGGGATTTTACAGACGTTAAAATCCATGAAAACAAAAACAATTCAGAGAGACTAACGCCCATGTTTCTAAACTGATGATACAGCTATAAAAAAGGGCAATAAATGCAATATTTTTCAATTGTTTGATCTTTAATTGGGAGCTACCTTCAATATGTACCTGTCTGTTTCTGTCTCCCTGACCTTTGCATCTCCAGGGGGCCGCGGGATGAATGGCAACCCCATCATCGTCTTACCAGAGTTCCCAGACTTCAGCGAGCTGGAGGAGGAGGAAGTCCAAAATGTCCTCGGCTACCTCAGCAGCATCCCCAGGTTAGCCACACACACACACACACACACACACACACACACACACACACACACACACACACACACACACACACACACACACACACACACACACACGCTAACACACACCATCTTTTATGTAGCCTAATTGGGTTTGACAACACACAAACAGTGAGGAAAATCTGGCCAATTTGTGCAGGTGCAATACCTCATGGAGCCAAGAGATGTCAGCACCATACTAACCGCCTGCTGCCACAAGGATAGCGCCAGAAAATACATTTAAAAAAGAAAGAATGGACGATTGCAGGAGAACATTTTTCAGAATGAAAGACCAGGGAATAAAACATTTATGATTTGCAAAAAGGAAGAAAAATCTCCCGCTTAAAATCAAATGATTTGGATGGATTTGTTTTCAAAACCAACAACAGTACCACAATAATCCAATACAATCATTTAGATGTTGGTTTATCTAACACCATTAGTTCATTGTAATTGAACTCAAATCATTAGATACATGTCTTTTCTTCTCCCTGCCCTTTCTCCTTTATTCTCTCTTCCCTCTCCCTCCCCTTCCTTTAACCTCTCCGTTACTGCTGAGCGCTGCACTCCTCTCACACACTCATGCATACACACACATCATTAAGGGGAGGAGAATGCATGGAGATGTATGCACTTATACACAAATCTACTCGTGTGTGTGTGTGTGTCATGGCGGCCTTTTTTTTTGTGGCTCATCACCTTTCATATCCCAGTCCCCTCCCTCTGAGTCCCCTCCCTTTCTCCCCACTAGCTATTTGCACCCTGCTGCCAATCGGCTACACACTGCGGTCTGATTGGCTGTGGCAGAACAGCAAGATGCAGGGCTGGGTTTTGATTGGCTGAGGATGAGAGGCAGGTGGTGGAGGAGCAGACGGAGAAGGGGAAGGAGGAGGGAGATGCTCTTTAAGGATGTGAGCGGTCACCTCTTTCCATCCGCAAGCTGCAAACAAATGATTGTGGATGCAGGAATATGACACTGACAACAACGGAATAACATTGAGGAGGAATGGATTATTATTGGATGCTAACAATGGGAAATTAAGGGATTTTTTTCTGTGTGTCGTTGAATGCCAAGATTTTCCTCCGCCGGCTCCATTCATATGGTTTTGAATATTTTTTCCAGTAGAGATGGATTGAGGATTTGATGCCGCAGCGTTCTCTGGGTAGTGTAGTGTGTACATTTGACTGAATATATCTGTGTGTGACGAGGACATTTGGCTAACAATAACAACCAGATGGACCAACTCAGCAGTGTTGGCCCTACTGTGTGTATGTGTGTGTGCGTTTTATTTGTGTGTTTAGGTGTCAGGATGCATGTCAATTTGTCCAGCAGGACCTACACACACACACACACACACACACACACACACACACACACACACACACACACACACACACACACACACACACACTAGCTTAATGAGGTTGCTACATATGGCAGTGCCTGTGGAATGAATGGCAAGATTTTCACATACACACACATCATCAAAGAGCCAAGGTTGCCATGGTAATCACAAGGGTCTCTCATAATCATCACTGATGATGACAGATGATTGCGACAGACAGTTGCGCCAAAAAATAATAATGATATAACCTTTTGCAGCATTGCTTTTTAATACCCAAATAATATATCCTGCTCTCATGAAGACCAGTGAAATCTAGTCATTTTTATATCATTTGATATATGCTATTATGTGTCAGTTATGATAACAGATAAAGATAACGCTTGATTGATACAATCCTCTCCTTGACTTGTCTAACAACTGTTAAAGGCTAGACATAAACCTGCATACAAACACACACATATATAAGAAGTGTTTTCTCTTGTGTAATAACACTGTGTTCTCTCCCGCAGCGTTGCAGCATCAGGAGTGGGTTTCATCCTGGTTATCGACAGGCGACTGGACCGATGGGCTGCCGTCAGGACTACCCTGCTCCGCATCGCCGTAAGTGTGTGTTTGTTTGTGTGCATCATTTGCTGATGATGTACAACTGATGACTACAAATGGCTGTTTTGGTGTGTGTGCATCACTCTAATGCTTGTTTAAACACAGATCTGCGGTCTGTAGTTGCTGGTGTTAGCTGTGTGTGTGTGTGTGTAATTTGGTTTGTCACCACTTAGAGTAATGGATGTTTTGGTCTTCAGTTTTCCAGCTTGGACAAACTGTACATTATGTATGTGTGTGTTTTCCTATGGTAGAATATGTCGATATGAAGCAGCAGAGTGGGGGTTAAAAATAGCGTATTATTATGGTAGAGTGGGTGGTGGAGTCTCACAACGTGTGAACACAGTGTGTGTGGGATGAGATGCAGTCCTGTGAGATGTGGAAATCCAAACTGTGTGAGCCATTAGTCTGATTCTAGTAGCCTATTTTTTCTTGAGCAGTGTGAAACTTTTACCCCTCGCTGAGATGATGAATTGAAGAAGCAGCATTGAATGACAGAGGAGGGATCCGGGGAAAGAGGAAGAGAGGAAAGAGAATTGTGAACCGGAAAGTAAATCGTCAGCGAGTCTGAGCAGTGGAGAAGTTGATTTACATCAGACAGACTTGTGAATCAAAGTTGCTGCTCTCTGACAACATTAGTATGAAAGATTCATGAAATAAAAAAAGGAAACTGGTCCCAAAATAAAAAAGTATGGTTAGGGTGAGGCTACCAGACGGCCTTTGTGATATATTTGAGTTTAAACCCTCCAACAGCCTCCTAAGTGTCCTCTATACCCTCTTTGAACCTTAATTAACCAGCTCACCACACCCTGCACATCTGTTGTTAAGATGCTTTTCTTGTATTACACCCCTAAGCATGTCCAATATATGCAGATGTATGCTAATATATGCTAATCACACACTGATTATAATCAAATCTAATGGTCTTTCCATGGCATTTCTGAGAAACTATCCCCACTGTAACAATAAACCATTATGAAGCTCCTTCCTTCCTAATGACTCCACCAAGTCACTTTAACCTGCACACACACACACACACACACACACACACACACACACACACACACACACACACACACACACACACACACACACACACACACACTCACACTCACTCTCACACTCACACACATACACTCACACACACTCAGCTGCACAGTGAACACACTCCCCCGCCAATAATAATGGACCATTCCAGGTTTATTATCCTATTCCAGTCTATTAGCTCAGTCCATGTCTTTGAAAGGGACATTGATGGACTCTCATTTGTGACCAACCAATCAGGGGTCGTCTCTCTGTTTTAAAGAAATAAAAACAAGAGAAATTGAATTTGATTCAGCAAATAAAATATCTAATTATTATTCACAAGAACCCGAGTTGGCCCATTTAAGCCCAATGATGTTTTTACTTTGCTCACATTGATGACAATAAAACTAGTGAAATGTAAAAAATATATATAATTATAACGCTAAGATAAAATAACACCCTTTCCTTCCCAGTCTTAAACCATATATAGAGAGAGACAGGTAGTTAATTTGCATGTAAGCAGATGTCCTATTCTGACCAATAACAGCAGATTTGGCTGAAAGTGACAGGTGTGAAAACAGAGCTTTTCAGACAGAAGGTTAGTAGTCTTGACTTAAATACAAGTATGAACCTGAAAAGGAGAATGATATATGTCCCCTTTAATATAAGTCCCATTCAAAAACATAGATTCTTTGCAGGTTTCCTTGAGCAGGATTGTGTCCTTGATAGCGTTATAACCTGAAGGCATGAAGAGCAGGTGGCGCTGTCCTCCTCAGACCCTGCACTTTTATCCCCAGGCGTGGATGTCCTCTTTGGGCACCGCCTGCTTTGTCCACCAGCCAATCAAACACGCAGCCTTACTGGAGAAAGAAGGTCGTTCGTCTTCCCGTGAGGCGTACCGCTGATCAAGGCTGCTCAAGGTCGCCCGCTGCCATTTGCTGGTTCCTTTCCAGATAAAAAAAAGAGAAAGAAAGGACTGGCCAGTATTGTCATGTAAACAGATTAGTGTATGGCACACGCACAGATGCTCACCATGTACCTGTAATCTTGTACACAGTGATTTGCTACGTAAAGGATGGACTCGGACCACCTCTTTATAGCCACCATGGAATCAGCAACACATGTTTTCACCTAATTGTGATGTTCTTATTAAATATTTTATTTTAATTTTATGCTTTTGCAGTTAAATGAGGATTCTGTTGCAGCCTGTCTTTGCGATTTAGTTAAATAAATATGCGGTCATTGAAGCATGAACAACATTGCTGCAGGGTTGTCAGAGAGACAGCTCTATAACCTGGTGCAAGAAGAAGGCTTGTGTTTTTTAAGATAGAAAGCCGTTTGCAGCCTTTGTCTTTCTCTTTGTCATAATGTGACACTTTCATGTCCAAAAGCAGGCATATAAGCAGAGGGGGTTTGACTATTGCGTTTGATGCGGGCGCTATCCAACTCCCAGGAGAACCATATGGATGTCATTAGTGGACATGCCTCCCTGGAAGAATATAAATCACCCTGGTCAACAGAAAATGATATTCTAATCCCTAATCATTTATTTATGTGTGCTTCTTTTCATCTGTGAGAAGTGTGTGTGTAAGTGTGTATTCAGGGGATGTGTGTGTGTGTGCTCAGCAGCATGTCTGTGTTCTTCTGTCGGGGGGGATGCACTGAGCAGATTGTGTATTATCATGGTAATGCAGTGGCACAAATTAAACCATGACCTCTCAGGGTTTATTGAATTAAATTGATTCCGATTACAGGCGTATTGCTTGTTGTGATTTGTATGGTGTGTTATTGGTAGAATAACGATACATTTAATATTTCTAAAGGGCTAAATGACGATTATTCTACTTATTAGTTACATTTTAGTCTTAACTAACGTTTAAAACTGCAGGTGATTATGAGAGCTCATGTGGTGTAATCTAAAATATGCTGTCAGTTTGGATGGAAATTGGAGATGATGAAAAACGATGAATTTTACAAAAAGCTGGGTCTTTCATCAGCATCACAGCAGGTGTGTGTGTGTGTGTGTGTGTGTGTGTGTGTGTGTGTGTGTGTGTGTGTGTGTGTGTGTGTGTGTGTGTGTGTGTGTGTGTGTGTGTGTGTGTGTGTGTGTGTGTGTGTGTGTGTGTGTCAACTTGTTTTCTTGTGTGTGAATATCTTGTATAGAGAAAAGGAGAGATAAGGATATGAGAATCCTGCAGGTGCTTACCTGTGCGTGTTGTTGAAGCAAATGTGTTACGCAGTCACATAGCGGAGACTTGCCTTACTTTTTAAGACAAAATGCAAGTCCCTTTTCTGTAAAAATATGTCCTTTTAGGTTGAAGGATTGGTGCAAGTTTAAGTAGGGGTTTATTTTGGAAGAGACTTCTATACAAAAATACTTGGAGCCGCAAACAACCTAAAGTTGTCTCCACTGTATGGAACAAATGGGATGTTGAACCAGTGCCTACATGGTTGTATGAATGAGCTTAATGAATGAACATGACCTGACTTTGTTCTCCACATTGATTTCATCTCATTGCCCAAAGATGTTCCTCCTGCAGAAGCCATTACTATCCATCAGACGCTTACATAACCCGATGTAAAGTGACCCTCAGGCTGACTGTGTGCAAACGTCTCAGTACAGTACACAGCAGAGCACGCTGACAGCATGTTAATCACATTGGTCCCATTAACGCACTGTGTTTCCTCCTGTCAGCGGGGACAAAACCCTTTTGAGAGTTTGAATGTCAACATCTCCTCCCCCCCAATGTCCACTCTGAGCTGTGTGTGTTGTGTGGCATTTATTCAGTTTTAATTTGATCTGATGCGCAATAACGGCAAACCTCTGAACCATGGAGTTTACGATCAAATCTTATCATGCTTTCTTTGGCCCTCTGCAGGATTGCTCAGATGTGTGTGTTTTGTTTTGTGTGTTGCTGTGCAGCAAGAGTGTTTGCTCTACTGGCAGATGGACTTAGGTGCTCTGTGCATTCTGCTTAAAAAACAGAAACACACACGGTTAGTACCAGAGTATCAACCTGTCCGATCTTCTCTGCTTTTTTGCCAAATCAAGATTAGAACTTGACGAGGGTCAGTTAAGCTTCCATAATGCAATCCGGGATGTTGATCTCCCAGTGTGTGTGTGTGTGTGTTTCTCAGAAGTAAAGCGATGCACTTATCCTTCTTTAAAGAAAACTAAATGCACCTTCCATTCAATGTACTGTGCCCTCAAGAGTCTGTTACAGTAAACAACAACAACAAAACAAGAGAACATAATCAATAAACTCAAAGCAGAAGACGATTGGATTAAGTAGACGGGATGAATCTTTAATGATCCCTGAGGGGGGATAGGATGATGGCAACAAGACACAACAATCAAACATATTGATTGTTTTAGAAGCAGCAACATATTTATCAGTCAATACAGAGCACTATGTCGTTCCAGTGACTTCTTCAAATGATGTGAGCTGATATTCATTTCCTTTGAGTGTCTCGCTTTCTAAATTTAGGGAGAGACTTAGGGGAAACATTTATGCAGCAGAGGCTAATGTATCATAACTGTTAGTCAAAACTTCCCATAAGCATTTTATTATTTATAAGACATGTCTAGTGAATCGAACTTGTACTATACATTTGCGGATTGTGGATGCGTATCAGCAGGAGGGGTCTCGGGTCATCTCTGCTTTCTACTAAGCTTTGGGGGGAAACAGGGGAATCGACTATCTACATAAAAGCAAAATGGGAAGCGGAGTTACAAATTAAAATGTCAGAGGAAGAATGGTTTCAAATGTTCGACACGCAATTCACATCCACAAGCTCATTAGTATGGAGGGCATTCTGCTGGAAGACTCGCTTTTTCATAACACCCAAAATAAAGAGCAGGCAACTTGGTGTACAGCAACAGTGTTGGAGGTTGTGTGGGAACATGGAGGCTGACCACTCGCACATGTTCTGGAACTGTACAAAGATAAGGTCATATTGGGAGAAGGTTAATGCAGTTGTCAAAAATGATTATGGGGTATGGAATCCCAAATACCTGCCCGGTGATGGGAACATTAAGGATGTTGTGATGGGAGGCGGTCTATATTTGACTAAGGTTTTACTTGCAGCGAGTAAGAAAGCTATAACTAGGAATTGGCTTAATGTGAACGCTCCGACTCAGGAGCAGTGGCTGGAGATTGTTCAAGATGTTTTTGTCATGGAAAAGTTGACATATGTTTTGAGAATGCATTCAATAGGAAATGGGAAAAGTGGAATATTTACATGGTTGACACCAATGAGTAAATGAATGACTAATTCAATCCTGTACAGCAGGGGTGTCAAACTCAATTTCATCCCGGGCCACATCAGCATTATGGTTGCACTCAAAGGGCCGGTTGTAATTTTAATTATATATAAATATACATATGTAATAATATACATTAAATAATGTATTATATTACATTGTTGGCCCTGCATTGGATTATTATCAGTTCTGGTAATATCTTCCTAAATAACTACGTCTGAAAGCAGAAGTCTAGGGCAAATAATTGAAAGTAAATATTCAACAATTACACCAATTATATTGTATATTATATTCTTTGCAAGCTCTTGCGGGCCACATAAAATTAGGTCGCCGGCCGGAATGGCCCCCGTCATGTGTGTATATTGAAGGTCTTCAGACAACTAGTATTTATTTTTGCTTTATTTTAAAACTGATTTGTGTGTATTATTTTTTGTTGTTTAGGTTCACATGTTGCTCTGTTATTATAAAATATGATACAAACATAATTGTAAAAAAAAAAGATGCACACATACCTATACCTTCGTTGAAATGAAGTGAAATTGCTCTCTTCAAAGCTGTATATCTAACCCTTAAGGCAGTGTATCTTCTTTTCATATTGCTCTACATGTCTGCTTTGAAGAGAGGGATCACGTTCTGTTGACCTTTCCATTATGACCTCCTCAACTTCAGCACAGATACCGTTTAATATCAACCGATTAGGATCACATTTCTGCAAGCTAAGATCAGAGTGCTGCGGGAATAAGCTCCTATCAACTTTTAGCCAATCCTACTTTCGCCAACACACCCTATCCAGCACACTTGGTGACCTTTTAAGACTTTTATAGAAGATAAGTCTTCCAGTACATGATGTCATTGTGTAAAAAAGTAGTGTCCGGTTCTTCCTAGGGCAAGTATGAACACAGACCTCCTGGATTCTTCCTGGCTCTTCTTCTCTGTGTGTATGTCATTTTCCTTTTTTCCCCCCTCTCTGTCTCCCTCAGTTTTCATGTTGACTTTGTTCTGAGCAGTGTAATGACTGGTATGGCCCGAGGCAGCTAAAAAAGGCTGCTGTTTTTTCACTCTAATGGTAGAGAGTAGGGAGGAGGACCTGGAAGCCACAGGATTACCAGGACATGCTTTGCAGTTTAGTGAGTTGCACCACAGAGGCTTCAACACTGTGATTCAGACATTCCCATGGCACTACATCTGGTGTAGAGATTGAAGCAGGTGGAGGTGCACTTTGGCCCACATTGAGACATTTTGGCTGCTATCTAACTTCTCTGTGCAGAAAGGCTGTGTGCACATGTTTAAGATGACATTAAGCAAGAGTTTGACATGTTGACAACCAGTGGAAAATCTATATGTAACCTTTTTTAATAGTGAGCTTTGTAGCTGTTTCCTACCGCAAGTTATACATTACAGCCCAATTAATAAAATCTCAACTAATTGTTTGCTTGAGCGTTAGAAGGGAACTCGGCGGTTGTGTGTGTGTGTGTGTGTTATGACGGCAGCACAGACTGCAGACAGGGGACAGTAGTGTGTTGTTTTGCTGAGATG